ACCCAGTCAGCACTTTAAGAATTAGCTACATACTGGATATTCTCAGCTGGACTTTTTTTTTTCCTAGTTTATTGCCAAGAAGCCTCTACTGATCATGCAAATACCAAGATTTTACAGAAGGTTACAACTTCACCAAATTTGAGGGTGCGGAAATGAGGCACCCTCCCTACTTTCACATGCAAAAGTGGACAAGAGTGCTCTGTCCTCCTCTCCCTGCCCCAGAGCAGCACGGCCATGCTGATCACTGGGGCTCAGCAGCATCAGCTCCCGGAGCTTCCCCCAGCTACCCTGTCATCTTCAGCAGGGCAGGACTGCACCACCTGAAGGACCAGGAGGCAGAAGGACCAGGAAGGCTGATTTGCATGTGGGTAAGAGGCCTGGCTAAAGTGGGGAATGGCTGGGAGAGTGCAGCCCTTCTGGTCCTCTAGAAGGGAGCAGCAGGGAGAGGTGAGCAGTGTGGTGGAAGTCTGGCAGCTACCGGCTGGACCATGGGGCCGTTGGTCATGGTCTGCAGGCCTGCCTGTGGGAGAGGAGGCTGAAAGAGAAGCCTGCCAGGGCTCAGGGTTTGCTTGCGGTGTGAACATACTCGGATTCGGCGGGAGGACTTACCTGAGCTGGAAGGGGACTGGACGTTTGTGGTGCCTGGGATGCAGTGCTGAGTTGCGGCTGTGGTGGAGGTAGGCTGCAGATCTGTGTAGAGAAACGGAGACACAACAGCTGCTTTGTCTTACCATGACACGAGGGCATGTCCTGCATGGCCAGTCTGCCATCGAGTCTGAAACACCCTCTTTTTACACACACGAAAGGAAATGACTGACATTTCTGCCTAGAAACCAGGCAACGATGCAGAAGAAACAGCCCCAAATCACCTCCAGGAAACCCAGCAATGGCAGCATAAACACTCTCCACACCTCTTAGGGAAAATGGACTTCAGGAAACGAAGTGGCTGTGGAGAGCAAGGCTCCGACAAGCCCACCCTGGCTTCAGAGAGGGCTGACAGCTGACAATCATCCGGAGAGGGCGGATGGCGACGCACTGGACAAAAACACGTGGGGAGACGAGGCGATTCCGCTCTGTCAGGAGAGGCTCAGGTAGCATGCAGGGACTTCAACAGCTTCTGGTGGCAGCGAGAGATTTTGCTCCCAACAGAGCAGCCTGTCTCCTGTCCTCACCCTCCTGCCCCCAAGCTGGGCGTCCCTCCAAGCTCGATCCAGGTGTGATGGAGCGGGGCTAGCTGAAGTCTTTGTGGCTCGCTAGGAGCTGGCAAGAAAATTTTGTTTACACCCACTGGGCTACCACATACCCACCTTGGAGATTCTCCATTTAGTTCTGTAGCAGGAACTGCGTTAGCCTTAAAGAAGAGAGCTGTGGAAATCCACCCTTCTCAAAGAGCAGCTCTCCTTTAACATCTACAAGAATCAAGGACAACATGCCCAAAGGCTTCTCCCCAGCCCACGTACAGGCTGACAGAGGCTCTGTCAACCCACAGACTGCTTGGTGATGGGGTGAAGCTTTCCAGCTGAGCTGGCTTGGCCTAAAGGATTTAAAAGCAGGGGAAAAAGAGACCTTGGTGCTGTAAGCCCAAGCCTTTTCCTGCTGTGCTTTTTTCCTGCCCACAATAAAGGAGGGGTCACTGTACAAGCTGTTGTGTTCTGCTTGCTCATATTGAGCAGTTGCATGAAGGCTTGCCCCATACAGTTGTGTAAGGAGCTAATTATGGTTCTGTAATTAGCCATGTGGAAGGACAGGCTGAGGAGGGAAGCGCTGCAACAGCAGGCACAGAGAGGTCCCTGAGCCAGAGCCACCAAACAGTTGGGCGAGCAGATAGCTAAGTCTGTAAGATGGGATCAGAGTAGAGCTGAACTTTATAGGGGAGGAAATAATAAAATTAAATGAGTCACAGCATACAAAATACACACATCAGTTGGACTACTAGATAGGAGAGCTAATTGGACAGTCATTATATTACTGTGGGGAAAGGTCCAGAAATAGGTATTCAAGCAGTGAGTTTTAGCTAGCTTTTGCAACTTCTCCTTTTTTCTGTTTTAGCAGATACACAAAACCAGACTGTATTTGTTTATACACACATCCTGACTGAGGTGTATATTTATTTTTACACTAGGAGAACATTTGTAAATGTGACAAGAACATTTGATGGGTTACTAAATCAAAAAGGAAATGCATTCTTAAATTACTTCTTAGGTCCTGAAAACAATTTGCAAGCAAATATCCTATTCTCCAGAGAGGGAACTCATTAACCATTGTAACAGCCTTGCATATGTTTGGAACAAGAGTCCTTGAAACAGAATAACGATTGCAAACAACTGTCCTGTGAGGTCTGTCAGGAGGGCAGCGGTTACCCCTCTCAACTGCAACTCCATCCACTCCTCTTAGTCTACAAATGAAAAAGCAAATATCCATGGACATATCAGAGAGGATTGACAGAGCCCAAAGAACTGGCCTCCAAGTCCTCCCATTTCTCCTGCAGGGAAACCAGCTAATGGAGCCAGAGCACTTTACTCTCAATAGCCAAGAGATAATTAGGTTGGCTACTGATTGCTTTTGTGTCAATGAAACTAAGAAATTGATGGAGTTGCCTTTCCACAACTTGCCTAATGATCTTCCTGAAGTGGCAGGTGGGTCACAAATCAGCAGCCAGCTAGACTGTTAGCATCGACAACTGGTTCCCAAGTGCTGGCACACAGACTTTCGGTTCATGGAGCTTACGTGCTTTGGATCGCCGTGCAGAAGACAGACACCTTTGCACAACGCTCCCGCTCTGCACAACCATCTGGGAGAGGTGCAGTGGTTTACCAGTCTTCCAAAGTAAGAGGAC